CCATGGGATAAAAATTGAATAACTAAAGAAGAGAAAAGTTTGTTGGCAAAGACGAGATCCGAAATAAGCACTCGAAATAAGTGATCGAAAATTCAGCATCGACTATCGAGTGGTATTGAATAAGATAACCCTTTCCAACGTGTCAAGTTTCGTCAAGTTTCACGGAAAAAGAAAGGAAAGGAAGGTGCGAATACTTCCTTTCGTGAGCAGGAAGAATCGATGCCATAATCGCTGATTCATCCATCAGGGAAGCTCTCCCTTGGTTTTTATCGTGCAACAAGTACTAACTTGATTCGATTATGCATCGAACGAGGGTTCGATGTAATTTCCACCTATAATGGTATTCATCGAGGGCTCGACCGAGCGGGATTTATTACTGGAACGAAGAAATTAAGTGGATACTTGGATCTAGGGTTACCATCAATTCGCGTGTGAACCTAAACGATTCCTGGATAAATTGTACGCTTTTCTAGGAAGAAAAATGACATTAATTATTTCAAATTCAAAGTAGAAATTTTATATTAGAATTTGTAGCCTGTTAAAATGAAAAATAAAATTGAAAAACTCCTCGATACAAATTTTTCTATTATTCCTATTAACTCTCGAATTCCGTAGATATTCCAGATACCATTAAGTACTTAAATCGATCTGGTTTGATTAAAAATTCCATGTCAAACGAGCCTTTCTTGAAAGCGGCTATGAATGCATACCAGCCAATCTGAATCTCTATCATTCCTAATGGAATTAGTCGATCGTTTATCATCCTTAAAGAGGGATCCACCGCGTTTCGACGAGTCGTTGTCACGCGATAGCCTTGACCAAAGAAAAACGTCGCGAATGCAAGTGAAAAAGAAAGGAAAAGGGTATGACGAAGGATGAGTCGACAGGATCGATGGACGATTTGAATTAGACGGGTCGAGTATGGTGGCAACGAGAAAGGAAACGAGGGGTTGGCTGGAAGATGATTTTTTAGGCGCGGCCGAACCATGTCTTTCATGGTTCCCTTCGATCCAGCTGTTCTTTTTCTTGCAAATTCTCCGCGCCCACCAAAGAAACTTCCTGCCCGTACCCTTTCCCCCCCATAACGAATGATCCATCCGAGGAATGTTATCCTAACACAAGGGGTCAGCTTGATAAATCCCTTCTAACTCGAGAAGGATTCTCCTCAGCGTCTAATAGCGACGAAAGAAATATACTATCTGCCAAAAGTATCAGACTGGCTGGGAAATATTTCTTTTATTAGCCAACCCGTATCTAAGATTGAAAATCTTGAAAAGGGAGTTAAAGGATTTAGATTTTCTGTCACTTTTGTACAGGCCAAACGGTGTAAGAGTTATTGAAAAAATTCTTGTGCCGTTATGTTTAGTGGATCAAAATCTCAACGAGTGGCTGAATTCTTTTTTTTTTTTTTTTTGGTCTCTTCCGGTCTATCCGGAAATGACCGAAAAAGGGTTGGCTCTAGAGCGAATCTCGTTTTAATTCACTTGAGTTTGTTATATAAAGGTATAATAAAGGTACGAATATTAGTACGCAGTATTTTTTCTCCGAATACTCGACGGACAAAAGAAGAAAGAAAGTAAAGCGATTTCACGAGAAACATTCGGAAAATCTGCAGGAATTGTCTGATTAGAAACGCAGAGTCGTGGCGCCTGTACTCGCACGTGGCACCGTATCAACAATTCGATAAAATGAAACAACAAATTCCTTCTGGTGATTGATGATTTTCTCGTGAAAAAATCCTTTCTCGCTACGGGAAACGAAACAAAGAGGATCCCTTTTGAACGAGTCTTCTTCAAATGATATTTCACTCTTTCAAGATCTACCATGCAGGAAATCAGGTTCCGAGAAATTGATTTATCCGCTAATTTCCGTGTCCTCCGCCGGCATTCTGCGTATCCTTTCTGCAAGACGTTCCAGATAGGATTACAAACTTGCCTCGGCTGCATTTAAATAGGCTTAGGACCGAATTAATGCAAATGCATTCCGAAATGACGATGCTATCGTCGGGTCACCAGGGTCAAGAAAAAAGAGGAACACGTCCTTTGGGTCCGAATAAAACCTCGCTGACCGATCTCTTTCTTCTTCCCTTTGTCTCTCTTTCTCCTCCTATTTTCATTCAAAATAGGTCTGGACAGTTTGTTTCATGTGGCTCACGTCCACTTCCACTGGAAAGACTTTCATTCAGAAATAAGAGATATCCAGGTCTATGCTTGGATCTGTCTTTTTTTTTCCAAAGTAGAACATCCTATTACGGTTATAAAAATTAACACTAATTGTATATCATCAAATTAAAGTTCACGACGCACCGTGTGTGTCATATGCTATCTTCCTGTTAAAATTTAGGTAGAAACCATGTTAAAGTTTCACGTTCAAAATCCCAAAACATTTTATCGTTGTTTTATATATTTAATCTTTCTTTGTAAATTTTTCAAATGTTGAAAGATACGGGGAGGTACAATAATTTCAACGAATATCAAAAGGGAATATAATCGCATAAATTTTCCCAGATTTTCAGAAAGACGATAGTACAATTTGCTTACAACAAATTGTTTCATGGAACTGCGTTGAGAAAACAAAACGGCAAGCACGTATACGATAAACGTACCGATAAATAGGAGAAAACAATGCGTATCATTTCGAGTGAAAAAGAATTGTAATAACTTTACAATGTCGTAGAAGAAAATCAGTCGAACGAAATTTTCTTACTTTTCCTTGTTCTATGAGATACTGATGGCTTTCATAATTCCGGTCGAAAGAGTACATCGTGCTGAATTTTTTCCGATAATTTCCCTCATGGTCAACCGATAACGCTTGAAAAATCATATGTAGAAACTAGGTTCGTATCGTTCTAGAAATGAATCATCCAATGAATATTCATAAGAGAATATTACGACACTTCGATTCTTTTTTTTCCTATTTTCAATCCTATCGTTTAACAAATTAATTTGACTGTAATTTTAGAATTCTGAACACGTATCAATTCGCGTACTGCCGTTTAATCGACGGTTCCTCGTTAGCTTATAGGATAAATGTAATTTCACCGAATTACCTTAGTGATTAGTCACTGTTAGGTTCATCTGCATTCGGATTTCGTGCAAGAAACCATCGGGTTTCAGGGATCAAGCCTGCGGTCGTCGGCTCTAGCAAAAAGAATTCTTGGAAAATAATGGAAAGAAGGCTCGAAAAGGTAACTGGGATGATTCACAAATGTATCATGCGAACCCACAGGGTGGCCGGTTCCTTGATACCGGTGGTGCCAATGAAATTCGTACAGGGATTCGTCAACATTCATTGTTCCAATCTCTGAACAATAACATTCAATTGAGCATTGTCGTCTTTTCCTTGTAATTACCTACCTTTTCCTTGTGTTAACCTTCCAAGTTTCATTTTCAAGGTAATCATTTATGATGATCATCGAGATATTATCTGCCAGAAATCTGAAAATTTTTTAGAAAAATTCTAGAAATAGAAAAGTAGAGTGTTGCAATGACAAATAATAATTTATGCAGTTCTTTAGAAAGAAGGGTCAGGAAAAAGAGAAAAATATATTGCAAAGAATTATGGTATAGGAACAGAAAAAGAAAATATGAAAACTAGCCCTCGACTAAAATGCAAAAGAAAATGAAGATTAGAAGAACCCTAAGTTTCTACGAAATTTCTTCATTCTGGAGGGCCTGAAGTGAATACAAATTAGAAGGCTGCAATGTTCATCCAAAATTAACCCCAGATTCTTATATTTTATCCTTCAAAAATAGCACCAACTACTTGATAAGAAAAACAAAAAGATAATCATTAACGACCTATTGTACAGACACCTAATGAACAATGAAACTTAATTATTCAATAAATTGAAGTACTATGTTTCCTACGCGACATCAACGAGACAAAAATCAAGGAAATGATCCGATCAATTTCCTTCTAAAATGAAAAGCAAACAGACAAATCGAAAAACAGGTTTTCGAAACAGTGTTTTGCACCGATATTGCGCGGCTAAGCGAAACCATTGTGGCCACTCGACAGATTACAACAATTCCTCGTTTCACAAGGCTCGTTTTTATACGATTGTATCACACCGCGATTCTTGCGATCATAGCTTCAATTCATTCGGGATAAAAAGAAAAATATTTGGAAAAGCCTCGAAAGCGTACGACGTATAAGAAGAAGAACGAAAAATGTAAAACGTATTTCGTTTGCATCGAATTATTTTTAGAAACTATTCTGACATCGTTAAATCATTTATTCATGACTGTGGTACGCAATGGGCATCTGTTAAATTGCTAGATGCACTAGTTGAAATAAAAAAACAATTTTATATTTTTTATCAAAGAATTGATACACTTCAAATGAACACGTAACCGAAGGTACTGTGTCAATTACCACGATCTGTAGATTGCACGAGGTAATTAGTCGTCCCAGGAAGAATGAAAAATAAAAGAAAAACTACTACGATAGACAATACGTTTTCCTTCCTGGCACGACAAAATTAAAGGAACAATGCTGAAAACGATAGTCCTGATATGCTGCGATCGATTCAGATAAACGTGTACGAAGAGGAAATCATACTCAATTAAAGTATCAAAACCAAAAGTGCCAGCTGAAAAATCTTGAAAAAGTCATGATTTCTTCTCAAACCTCTTCAAACAACAACTAACCCAAAATTCAAACAGTGCATAAATTATGAAAATCACAAGTACGTCCAGAAACAATGAAGAACCCTAAATTGGTATCTCAAACCTCGTCAAACAAAGATCCCATAAATGATCGAATATTGCACCACAGCTGAAATAATGAATCATAATGAAAAGTACCTAGAGAAATCATCGAGAATGAAAGATTTCATCTGAAACTTGGCGAAACAACGATAAACCGATGATCCTGAGGAGAATACGCTCGACGACGAGCCTCCGACATGCTACTCACTGGCGTAGCATTATACGCTTGCGACGTCTGGGACGGTGGAGTGGCGTGGTGGGAGGCCTCAATAAAAGTCAGTGGCAGACTGATTGTAATTCAGAGTGGCGGTAGAGTCCGGTACCAGTTGCCCGTACGGTTCGCGTCCTTTCCTCCGTGCCTCTTCATCGTTTCTTCGTCGTTCCTCCTCGCGGATTTCCCAAAAATTTACAAATTTTCATCCCTGTCCCGCCGGTCAGAGAATCCAAGGAGACGCCGTATCCGTATACCGCGTGCCTTCTTCTTCTGTCACCGTTGACAAACCCCGGGTGTTTCGTACTAATCGTCGGAGAGGACTAACCAGTGGCCAGCTAACCAGCCGTCAGGGAACAACACGCGAAATCGATAGTGTCGTGGCAACGACGTTTCCGACTACTTACACGTAACTTTCTACCCTGGACAGAGCAGTTTCTTCGAATTCGTATATTGCCAGGGTAGAAGTACAGCATTTCTCGGGCGCGCACGTCGAAAGGAGGAACGAAACTTCGAATGATCGAAAGGACACGTGTAGATAAGAAACGTCGCGTTATCCTGCGATATCGTTGAAGAGGAAGAGACCGGGTGTTGTGCGGACAGTGTCTGGGATTGTGTCGCGTACGACAGATACTCGGTGGTCGTCCACGGTAAAGGAACAGCTTTTCTGTACTTCTTCCAGCTGTTCGGAGTTGTTGGACAGAGAAGAGGAAGATGGCCAGGTGGAGTGGTCTTTTACGATGGGAAAGTGTCCTCCTCGCGATACTATTCGCCGTAGCGAGGGTGAGGACCAACGATCAGGCTCCAACTATCTCGCAAACCGCGGCTATGGTAAGTGCTAATTCAGATTAAACGACAGAGATGGGCTTCTTTTTGTTTTATAGTATTTCATTGCTTTTTCAATTGAAATTTTCATCTTAGAAGGTTCGGTATTCAAAATTTTTCATTTCGGAGCTTGGCATTTGAAATTTCTATATTGAAAGCTTCGATATTCCAAATTTTTCATTTCCAAGCTTTTTCATTCAAAATTTCTACCTCGAAAGCTTCGATAATCGAAATTTCTAATTTCCAAGCTTTATTAGGTACATAAAATTTATAATTCTTTAGCGAGAACCAACCTGCCTCCATGCAGGAAACTAGTGATTAATATTTGAAAAATAGGAAAAGTCAATGTCTCATCAGACACACTGACAAAGAGAGTTTTCTCAACGAAACAAAAGATATCTTTGTTCTACCAAACCTTTGTCATGTCAGTGACAAAAGAAAAGAAACTTGTATGTACACTCTAGTGTTTCCTTCAATTTCAATCTAGTTTTTATTAAGATTAGTAAAATTAGATGAACGTTGGAGTTTCGTAATGTTTCGAAGAAATTAGCTTAATATCAAGCGGTAGAACGATGACAATGGCCGTTATTAAATGAAAACGAGCGTTGCGCAATCGGTTTGTTAGCGATCGTAAGTATTTTCGCGGCTGTTCCTGGAAAATCAAACCGTTCCGAACGCAACAAGTCGATCAGCGGAGACTGCGCAGAGGAAAGATACCTGACCAGAGGTGGTTAATCGCGGGGAATGAGAATTGTTTCGCGGGAAATCTCGCGTTTTATGCGCTCTGTGTCATACGTGAATGAGTAATACGTAGCGTAGGTACATACGTGTTTCTTTCGACCACGCGAATAACATTCCGGAGGAAACGTTTATCTCTGTGACACTGATATACAGATTACGATGGACACCGGGTTTATCTAGAAAACGATTCACGATCGCGTACGAACGTCGTTCACTTTGTTTCCTATTTTGCTAGTTCAATTTTTCCAACGATGGAATAAATTTTCCTTTCCATCTCTTTTCCGGCGAACTTTGGTCCGTGAAAAATTACTTTTCAGAAATTAACGTTAATTGGTTTTAGTCTCTGCAATTTTTTTTCTTTTTTTTTTTTATCGAATTGCCCAGTTTTTTTTTCAATCTAATCGATCATGCATTGAAAGAACCCGAAGCGTCAATGTTGATCCATTATTTTATTATTAGTAATTACGATTGTGCAATTGCATTTGCAACGACAACGCGGTGGCTCGTGATGCTAGATAGAGAACGAGTGGAATGTTGCATAAATAATTTAGTCTATTCGACGTATCTCGACAGGTATGCAACGTGTTGGAAAAGAATAAAATGAAGAAAAAACCGAGACCGGTTTCCAACGTAATGACATAAGGTCGGACAATGTGACGTCACTTGGCTACCTTCGCTAACAAAGTTCAGCTGACTCGTTCCCGACCTTCGATTCATTGAAAAGAATTGCTTACGGTAGTGGCAATTTTTTTTTTACCGAGAAATTCCGAATTCGATACCGTTAAGCGACGAATTTCAACCCTCGGACGACGGACCATGGAGAGAGAATTAACGTTAAAGTCGAGGAATTCAATTAGAAAAATTAATTATCATAACCTGTTACCTTAATTATAGGGGACAGTGAAGATGATCCGATCATGAACCGGTTATCCAACTTCAATTCTGATGGAATTGAATCGTGTTTCTATAAATGTTAAACCGTGAAAATGTCAATATTGATATTCTATTTTTCCAACAAAATTTCTTGAGAACTTGAACCATGATCAGATTAGATAAATTTCTACCATTACTAGAAATAATCTAAAGGATTATTTCAAAATTAACTAAGAAAATCGAAATTTAAAGATAACGATAGACTTGATTGCTATTTACACAACCATATCCAACGGTGTTACGTAAAAAAAGAATTATCCAAGTTTGTAATTAATTACTCGATCAAATAAACTTCCATTCTTTTTCCACTAAGAAACTCGTAGAAAATTTGATTAACGTTAGTCTGTGAAATCGTTTAAACTTTTTTCTAATCAATAGAGATAACATATGAGATTTATAATTAATACCTTGACCAAACGACGATCATTGAAATCGCGTTTGCAAATGGTGGATTTCGTGCTTAAGCAATCTCAGGCCACGATAACGATGTAATTATCTACTCAGGTAAATACGAACGCCAACACTTTTATCTTCAAGGTTCGAAAAAGCACGACAAACTACCTCACACCCTTAATTACGTTTCGTCCATTCTTTGTTCGATATTATAACGAATACACATCACGAATCGAAAGAAAGTTTCAGCAACCCACGTGTTTTTAAACCAGAAACTCCAAAGGAATCTGTCGAATGTTTGATCGAAACGAAATCACGAAATATGAAGCTGGAATTATTGCGTCGAAGGAAACTAGGCTAAATGCTCGTTGCAAGTAGTAAGAGTCAAGAACGTAGGCAGTAGATTGATACTTACTTCAATCAGACCTATGGCTATGCACTTGTATCGAATTCGTTTCTAAAAATCATTTCAAAATGTTCATCGATAAGATTCTAATCGAACATAGATGATCGATGATACAAGAAGATACTGTAATTTATTCGACGATCATTAGAGACTAATGCTACGACATTGTAATCGCGTCGGTTTAGCATGTAATACTTTGTTCTACAATATCACTTGTAATTGACACGAATTTATATTCCTGGCAAGGTGCCAAGTTAAACGAACACCGGTTTGATAGCCCTGATATGTTATAGGAAAGTTTGTGAAACGACAGGTGTTTATGCATAGAATGAATTAATTAAGAAAGAATTAAAATTCTAAGATGGAACAACTTTGAAGAAGTTTTTATTACTTCAAGCTCGAATAACTCAAGTTTATGGTTGAATCGAAGGTTGAGTAGAACCTTGAGCTAGTTCACAAGGATCAGTGGTTAAATACACAATACCTAGTAGTCCTGCGTTCCCATCCTTCCCCGTCGGCGTCCCGGGGGAGAATGACGATACAGGAGAATGAGCATCGTATATATAGACCTATGACGGACCACCACTTGCGAGTAACCATTTACGCGGCAAAATTTAAATTGAATATTATTTATTATTAATATTTCACAGTCGTATAATAAATTTTATAATATTTAATAATTAAAATTGAGATTATTTTTTTTTTTCTAAATTACTTTTTTAATATTAATATCGTGAAAATTAAAATTTTGAAATTTTCTACTTGACAAAAGACTGTGACGAATAAAATTCTATTTCTAGCAAAAATTTACACGGCATGAAATCTGTACAGTCAATGGCCTCAATTGAACAGAGAGCTTTAATTTTCAGCTTCTGGCAACGTTCCATGCACTGAACTTAAAGCTCGCTTTCGACAAAGTGAATGAAAATGAATTATCTGAACGGTTCCAGTTGCTGATTCATCGAATTATAATATCGGTATTCGATAAATATTTCCATATTCAAGTTACCATAATAATCGTTAGTCCATGGAACACGAAAGCAAAAGAGCGATTCTTAGTTTCGAAAATTTGAAAGGAAGAGAGGAAAGAATTGACGAGAGTTGGCGAAATGTCAAGTTATCGATAGCCCCGCATCTTTTTCCTCTCACGGGTATCATACTAGGAAATGGTAAATAATGTATGTGCCTCGACACGGAAATACACGAGGCGCAAGATCGCGAATGTTGGCCTTCGTGTTCCTCGATTCGGAATCGCGGCACGATTTATCCGTCATCGGAATATTAATGATCGTCGAATAGATATTCTCATCGTCGCTCGATCCAGCGATCGTTCGCTCCTTTACCTCTTCGCTGTCTACTTGTCATTCGTCTTTCTCTCGGGTGCCTTTGGCCGAGAGTATTCTTCTCTCGAACGAGATTCGATCACTCCCGTTCAATTAGCGATGCTTTTTTCGGACGGAAACGCGATTGTCCTTTGATTCATCGTTCATTCGTGCGTTGGAATTTTAACAGAGTTCGTGTGATGTAAAATCGCTGACTTATCGACGTTTATAAAATAATGAAATTTAATTTTCAATTAGAATTGCAAAAATTCATAGATTCCATGAAAGGGTTAAAAATGAATGTAACGAAATAGAAGGAAGTTGGTCGGTTGTTTGAGAAATTCAGATCGATTCCCGGTTTGAATTGCGTGACGCGAAAAAATTGATTCAGAAACACGATTGTCGCTCGCACAAAACCTCCTTCCGTGTCTTATCGGGGCCTTCGCGGAAGATAGTTGCCAATGCAAAGATAGCAATGCTCTTGGCGACGTCTTATTACAATTACTAATCGCGGTTGATCATTACCCGACGTGCCTCGAACAACCAATCGAACGGAGAACTGTAATCGCCCCGTTGCGCAAAACCTACTTCACCGTCGAAGAAACGTCTGACTTGCTGCCAAACCACGTCAGCTGACGTCACGACGCGTAAGTTTGGCAAAGATCAAGTCGTCTCTGCACTGGGTGTTCTGATGGCATAGCTCAAATGACGAGAACCGAGAAAAATTTATAAATTCAACAAAATTGGAAAATTTTCAAAAGAAATACCACCGAATAAAAATTAAAATTTGAATAATTAAATTTTTTTAATTTTCTATTAGAACGCGCCATTGTCAAAGGGTTTAATTACACCAGAAATTCTCAAAAATTATTCGAATCAATGTTTACACTTGAAAATCTCGAGGTTGTCGACCTACAACCTCACATTTTCCAATCTCAACTCGATACTCCGTCCAGAAGCCGATAAAACCAAATGATTCATATTATGTTTGTAAAAAAAAGATTGCAGTGATTCAACGTTCCGGAAAAGCTCGTATCAACTGACCGCACAAAGACTGTTGCTGCTAATGGAACGATCCAAACGCGGATCGAACCATTTTCCTTTTTTTATACCATACGATGGATGCAAATAAAGGTTATCGAGAAAGGTTAAACATCGTTAGAAATTCATCGCGTTCGATGATGTTTAGTAGGAGGTGATTAAGTGTTTTC